AAGTCAGTCAACAATAATCAGAAATATCTCAAGCACGAGATCAAGAGACAAACCAGTAATCGAAACTGGAAGTTGGTAGAGTGTAAGGTAGTGAGTGAATGCGTTACAATGTGTTTCTTTTTTCGCAAATAGTTTTCTTATGTAAATATTTAAACAAACGAAACCATGCGAACTTTCCCTTTTTATTCGATATAAGTAAGATATATGCATTTATTTACTGTTTTTTTTTGTCCGATAGAATATTTTCTAGTGTAGAAGTTACTTTTGTTTTTTCTTCATGAATGAAGTGAATGATATTTTTTCCTATTTCTTATCAAACAAGGTTATAAACTGATTTACAGTTACTGATCAAAAAGGATTACATTTCAAGATTAATTATTCTCTTATACAACTAACCTAATTCTTTGTTTGTTTCTTTGATTGACAATTGAATATTTTTATTTCTAAAAAAAAAAATAGAGGAAGGTTATTACACTTTTTTATTTAATGTGGTGAAATACACAAAATGAAACAAAAAACATGATATTAGATTTTTATAAAATAGCCAAAGTGAATCTATTTTCATTATGGAGATTGTTGTTTAATACTAAAATTGTGAATTAATCATCTCTAGAAACTTGGAAGCACTGGATGGCCATTTAGTCCTATGGTATGGGACTAATCGTCAGTGGAAGTGCGCAACAACTACTCTTGCTGCTCGTAGGATTCAATCCCAGAACCTTCGGCCTTGCGCTTGAATGGCTAACCTCTGAACCATTAGACCGACAATCCAGGGGCTATATTTTTTGTACTATAAAAAAAATCAAAGTTTCATTGAATAGTATAGAGAACTAATGTTAAATAGTGAGAAATCGATTGAAAAATCCACCAAATTTTTAGTCGCAAAGTTACAAGTTCATACATGAATTGATCTACATCGATTACAATAACTGGATAGTATTTCTGACTTTTAGATTTTTAGGAAGATACTGGGTTTGAGTTTCTAGGAATGAATATCAACTTTGTCATACAGAGATACATCCTGCTGATGAGTCTGAAATAGAACGAAACGCGCTTCTTTGATTGCTCTGTTGGTCATTCTTTATCCATCGCTGCTAATAATATTTCTAACCGAAATGCAATATCAAGATGATCCACACAGCATGAATATATACCAAAGTGGCTGATCATTACAGTCCTACAAATCAGTGGCCAGATTCAAATGACCAGTATAAATGGATTAATATTCATTTCATTGCACAAGTGAATGACTGTCTGGACTCAGTAATTGAGTAGATTACGTGATGGCATTTGAAACAAACAGTACCGGGTTGGATTCCCAAAGTGAACGTTACCTCTACGATGCGGTAACATCCAACAGGTCAGTCCTAAATAGGATTAGACCTGCCTTCTGAATTCCACCACTGCTTAGCTATCTCAATTAATAAAATCAAGCATGCTCCTCTGATTTATAAATGTAGATCATAAATACTTGTCTGTACTGAGATTCATAATCAAAACAGAATTAATTTTGAAGTGAATTATTAGTTATTTTCACATACTTTACATTGATTATTCAACAAAATATCTGATTTGATTGACTGAATAAAAATTTGCTATTCAATGACAAAGTTATTTTAAATGAGTAAAACTTTCTTATCATCATTATCATCTCTGCATTCTAGTGGATTTTTAGAAAAAATGTCTTATCGGATAAAAACCATATATATTTATCATTCAAATCTATTTTCTTCTCAGTCTATTCAATATTTTAACTGACAACGTCTAGATTTTACAAGAATGTTTTAAAATTTGTTATTTTCCCGCTTAAGATGTTGCATTGATGATTGATAATTCAAAACAACTGTTTTAAATATTGAAGAGTTAGTTGATTCATAGTCTTTCTTTCAATTATGGTTACTATGGTTTTTTTCCAGCTTATTTCTTTTGTTTTCTATTGTTATAAAAGATTTGAACAATATTTTGTCAGAGTATGCTTGTACACTAATGACTTTATTATTTTTCATCAAACCTTATTGAAAATGATTAGAGTCTATTATAATTTTTGAGATGTTAATGTATAGAGTTGTACATAGATATTTTCATCTAGAGAATTTTTAGTAACTGTTCTCCGATGGCATATATGTTTCAGAGAATATATATTATAAGAAATCTAAGTAGTCATAGCCTAATATGAGTTAGTAAACCGAGAGTATTGATTTGGTGTTTGGAGCGGAAACTACGAAAGTCATCATCCGAAAGGTGCACGTATTTATTAACAGTTGCCTGCACAAGTTACCTTGTATCCATTGGCCAGACTCTATCGGCAACAACCTACTATGAGAGAGAACAAACCAGATTCTAGCAGATGGAAAATTCAGGAAAAAGCTATGGGGGTTTGTAGGATACACACTGAGAAAAGCATCCAACTACATAACAAGACCAGCTGTCGAGCCGAATCCTCAAAGCCAAAGGAAAGTTGGAAAGCCAATTTACACAACTCATTGAAGACTGTAAAAAAACATGAAGCGAATGAACAACATTTGGACATAACTAGAAAGGAAGGCTCAAGACACAGTAGGCTGAAGAATGCTAGTTGGCTGGCTCCCGATGCTCCTCTGGGAGTAACATGCATGTACTTACAAATTCAATTATGGTGGATTGGAAAATTTAGATTCAAAACAAACGGTGATTTTATGTTTCATAGTCTAATTAATGTTACTAATATGTTACTATCTATATTAATCAAGAACCTGTAGGAATCGTCATTAACTAGATTCGAAGAAAACGTTTGCTAACTGTATATGACCGAACTGACTTGAATGAAGATATTTAGGAGGCTTGCTCCGTAACGTCAGTGCACTTGACTTCTGAGATGTTAAAACAGAATAGAAAGCGTATAAACGTACTGTATTGACTGGCTATCATGAAAGTACGTCATCGAAATTTCATCCATTGAGTTGTAAATTAGACGACACATAGGGTTTCCTCAGAAATCCATTCGGATTAGTATGAATTGTCAGGAAAGACTTAAACAGTTTATGTGTAGGTCAACATAATAATTATTCATGTATCTATCTAACTTACATCTCTTGTGTTTCATTTTAACTGAAATATCACATGTGTATAAGAATTAAATGTAACTTATTGTGCGGTCATCAGTGAGAAATTAATTTTCACGAGTTAACAAGATTTGTATTCGGAATAACTTGGAACAGTTCAGTTACTTTATGATGTATTTTCTTTAAAAAAGAATGTAAGATCACAGACTAACTAAATCTGAATGGCTAATTAAGGTAATTATAACTCTGATCTTAGATCTTTTCTCAATACACAGGACTCATTGTAATGACAAACAATCAATTACACAAAACCTCTTATATGCTGAAAGCATAAACTAATCTGAAATTCAAAAAATAACTGACAGCCTATATGCTCTGTTTTAGGGGTAACAGGTGAAAATAAGTAAGTAAGTAAGTAAGTAAGTAATAGGACTGTAAGACAATGATGACATCATTAAAAGTTTCTCTGTTAAACAAATTAATTGAAGTTACGAAAAATATGAGCTATTTTATTTCTACAACAAGTAACTCATCAGTTAGTAGGATACAATCACATCATAATAGGAATAATCTGCAAATTTTCGTCATGTATTAAGGATTCATCTGTGCTTTATTAATTATTTTCCAATTATTTGCAAAGAAGCATATGATTTTATTCCCAATTCATTAGTAGTTCATTCCAAAAGGTACAATCATTTTTTTTCAAATATTTCAATAATAAAATTAATTAAAAATTCCATTGAATAACATTAAACTTTAATTATATAATATATATATATATATATATATATATATATATAATGTGTTTATATAATATACATTGTGAAGCACACAGCTAAATAGACGTCATTGATACATTTAGCATATTACAAAAACGGAATGCATGAAATAATTGTAAACAAAGAGTTTATCGTTCATTTAGAAAGATATACAAGTAATCTTATTTATTATTCAATATTCAGTTGGATTGTAAATATACCATTTTTTTCAATTTTACAACACAAAATCAAATAGATTCGGTATATTGTTTGAATTTGATTTAACACAAATTACAAAATGATCACATACTGCAAGGATAAAGTAAGCTATTCAAAGAATGCTGACCAAAATTTTACACGTATGAACTTCTGGCTGGTTAGCACATCTTAAGATCATCAATAGCTGACTAGAAGCAGGTTGATAAGCGCTCTGGGGTAAATAACTTCACAGAATAAATAGTTCTGTAAGTCTTTACGAAATTGGACACAATCCAGCTGATGATGCTCGAAAATGCATCCGCATCAGATCAATGTTGGATGTTGGATGGATAAAATCAAACCAATTATATTATGGGTATATATATATAATATACATTGAAGCACACAGCTAAAAATATATGTATTTCTATAAGTTTTTGCATATACAGTTATCCATTGTATGATACATTATTATGCTAAAGAAAAAAAATGCGTGGAAAATAATTATAAACTCTTAGTTTGCATCATAACGAATTATAATTTTCAACAGTTGAATGTAGTTAGTATCTTTGAACAAAAATATAACTTGATGGCATACAACTAGTGAGATAGTGAATGCAATGCTTGTGTGGATGTCATGTTTGCCATTTATATACGCAACATAAAATAACATTGAACATTGAACATTGAACAACAGCATTCAATATATCTATATTGATACATTGAATAAACTTCCGGTAATTTTGAATTAATTCTTCATATCGAATTCCTGTTTTTTGTTTTATTATTATTGATGTTGTAAGAGAGTAAGAAAGAAAGAAAAACGATCTCTTGTTGCATGAAAAATATATCTAGATTATGCTTAATTTATTATGCATAAGAGTTAGTTATAGTATTTTTTTTAATTAGAAGCATAAAATGGAAACCGAAAATCTCTCTCTCTTTCTCTCTATGTATTGCTCAAATGGATAATTGTAGTTTCTGTTGTTGTAAATGTTTTTGTTTATATAGAACAACAATTACGCAACTGTTTCGTTGATTGTAATTTTTTAGTTGACTTTGTCGATACATGATCATTGTTGCTTTGATTGGAAAGTTTATCAAATTTTTGTGTCAAACTAGTTGGTGAAGTCTTATAAGTAGATGATGATGTGTCGGTTTCAAGTAAATGTCTGTTAAAAAAGAAAAGAAAAAAAGGGATAAATTGAATGAAGGGAATGAAATTAACTAGAAACAATTTAATTTTTCAAAGAAACAAGATTGATCAGCATTAGACATTAACACAGTAGGATGCTGACAACTCAATGGTGGTCCAGAGTTAGTTTAAGCGAGTTCATATGCAAGACCGGGGGTCTTGGGTTCGAATCCTATGTGAGTAGCATTAGTTGTGGATGCGTATTGCTGATGAGTCCCACTAAGGGGACAAAACAGCCGTCCAGTGCTTTCAGGTTTCTAATGAGCGAATTGTTTATGATAATGTTGTTGTTCAGTGGATTATCGGCTTCAAAATCAATTCACTTCAGATAACCAACCCCCCGATAAATGGGGGAAATAGAGAAAATCATGTTCATCAAATAGGAAAACACATAATTAACATCAAGGCAACCTTTAAATCATTGTAGTTTATCCGGCTATAGATTTTCTTCATCATTTGTAGCATTTGATTTATGAATGAATACAGAAGGGAAAAAGGGTGATTGACATCTTGATCGAAGTACACTAGTTATCATGAGCGAAATCGTCTGCTGACTTTTACTTTATCTATTTCACTTTTTTTCTAGTTATTTCATTGATCAATATTTGTTGGATTTAAACTGTTTTAGTTGATCAATATTAAATTAGTTGATAAAAATAGACTGATTATCTGTTTGTTGGTTCAATATTTTATACGAAGTACTAAGTATTATTTGGAATTTTTCCTCTTTTTATTGAAGACCATGAAATTTTGATCAGTGTCAGATCATCATTAGAAACTGGGAAGCATCGAGTGGTCGCTTCGTCCTGTTATCGCACTCACCCCCTGAACCCAACAGTCGAACACAGGACTTTCTGTCCTGCACGCTAACGCTTTATGTTTAGACCACTGAGCTGGCATCCAATGGTGTTTACGTCTAAATTTAATCAATCAGCGATAGTGAGCAACCTCATCCATTGTCTTGGCTGAGTAACTTGTTCCAGGTTTCTAGTGGTGTTCTAACATTCATTGATTCGTGATTTTGATGAAACTCAGTAATCTTCAGATCTCTGTAATGAGAAACCATAGAATTGGTTGAACAATTCCTCTGACGTCTAATGATTAAATGAAGGGGAAAATGTTTAAGAATGCTTTTTTCTTATTGATTTGAAATGGTTGGATTACCTCACATTGAAACATATCATATATTCAAATATATATATATATATATATATCTACAGTGTTCAGTGCTGTGATTTTGTATTCAACTTTGAAGTGTGTAATGTTGTGTTCGAACGTAAACTTCAAGATTATTATTATTATTACTGTTGTATATAATCTAACTGTATAATAATTAGGCGACTTGATTACAAGGTTTATATTGTATTGTTTTTATCACAAGTTTCCCTTTCACCCCATAAATTAATATCATACGATTTACTGTCCCTATTTCGTTGACAGTTTAATACTTATTCACAATCTTCTCTTATAATCATTCATGTATGGTTGTGATTTTCTATTAATTTAAGGTGATGCAGTCTACTGTACTATAAGTGAACGGATTTTGAACTTGTAGTCGTTGGTTGTTAGTTCTTCATTTTGTGTTCAGTCAGTATTGGGTCAGTCATTAAGTATAGAGTAACCTTTTTCTTGACCTCGTTTCATTTTAATTATTTAGGAGTTGTCTTGACGTATTGATCGGGTTCAAGAGATAATATTTTGGTTAGATCTATACAAACCTGGTTAGCGATTTTTTAGCCAGTTATTTTTCTACAGGATGGGGTCGCTAACCCCATGCCCAGGCTTGGAACCGGCACTAACCATAGAACGAATCTAGGCTGAGTTCTAATAATGATTGCTGATTGTCAGTTAAAAATTGTTGACCGTGAAAATTTATTATTCGTATTCAGTTGAAAAACAATCAAAACAATGAGATATTTCAAAGTATTACATAATAACTTATTACGCAACCATAGGAATATTGTAGTTTTTCTTTAATACTAATCACTAATTGATTTGCACAGACAATTTTCTATTCCTGTTATGAGACTGATAAGCAGTGCGCATCCACAACTCCTGCACCTCTCAGGATTCGGACCCTAGACCTTCGGTGTTGCGCGCGAACACCCAACCTCTGGAATAATGAGCCGGTGTCTAACAGTATCAATGTCTAGCTTCGATCAATTCACGGAATTGCGCAACCTCATACACTGTCTTCGATAGTTACGTCTACATCGGAACAGGTTTAACTTCACTGGTCACGACTTCTCACTGAAACTCCGAGAAGATTCCTCATGGAGCTAGTCACTAGTGAGCACAGGTTGTTGCATTACGGGGTTGTGAAGATTGTTAAGTTACACATTTGAAATCATGAGTCGATCAATGTTAGACCGCCATTAGAAACCTGGAAGCGTTAACTCAGTTAGATACTGGCTCAGCGGCCAGAGGTTAGGCATTCGCGTGCAACACCAAAGGTCCGGGGTTCGAATCCTGCGAGGTTCAGCAGTCATAGATGCACACTGCTGATCAATCTCATAACAGGAAGTTCAGTGCTTTTAGGTTTCTAATGACGGTCTGATTTTGATCGATTCATGATTTCAAATGTGTAGCTTAACGATCTTCACAATCCCGTGAAGCAATTTTCTATTCGAACGGTGAAACAAAGAAATGCCACACATTTACTAACTGTTTGTGTTTTTAAAAAAATTTTTATTTGGAGAAAAAATTTCAGTTTAGTTGTACTTCGATAAGGTGTGTTTTTTCTAAATTTTAATGTGCCATAAGAATCAGGCAATGGATGATAGTAGAACATTTAAGTGAATTTATTAAAACAAAAATAATGATCTAAAAATTAAAAGTTGATGATGAATTTGATAACTGGTAACATTTTGAATATGAATTAATATGGAGAACTTTGTAGTAGCGTAATGAACGAAGCAGGTGAATACTAGATGGAATAAGTAGATTAGTTGAAGAAGACACTGTTAACAGTTTTCAGACTTCTTTTTCTAAAAACAAGCAGTTTTATTAGTTGTCTTCTTCTACATACCTTCTGATTTACAAAACAGCTTGATTGAGCTATACATTCGGATCTGATATTCTTCCTTCCAGTAGTAACCTGTGAGTGATACTCTACTGCATACTACTTATAAGCCTGATTGTTAGTAATAGGCACCACACTAGGACATATGTATTTCTACTGAATGTTTAGCGAAAATCAGTTTATACAGTAAAACTTCTTCGCATTTTACTCAAAATATGATTGTCAAAATTTATTTAAAAATTGAGATCCAGATAAGATAACAATAATTTATCTTAGTAAATAATCATAACTTTCTAAATAAACCTTATCAGCAGAGGTGTCTAGTGGCTAACGATGGAATCTAGGATGTGTGTAACGGTCTACTTGGTACGAGCCATGAGTTGGATATGCCTCCTCATCACTGAGTTGATGTTTACTCCAGGACTTGAAGCCATTACCGTCCGTTTCAAATGTCATCGCGTTATTCACGTCAGTGGGAAAAGTAGAACAACCGATACAAATAAATTAACCATCACTACATTGCACAGTGCAGTGGCTGTTTGGCCTCAGCAGCTGAGTGGATAACATGATTTCCGTTTGAAGCGAACGCTACTGGGTTAGAGTTCCAGAGTTAATATCAACTCTGAGTTGCAAGTACATCCATTTAGGACGAGTGCCAAAACTGACAAAACAGGTGTCCTGGATTCCGCTGCTAGCTGTTATCCACTAAGGCTAGTAATACTTGCATTCTGAAGTCCTTATCGATGAAATCCCCACAAGATGCACATATCCCAATGATACTGATCAGTTGTAATTCTATACGTCATTTAGAAGATTCAAATACCAATGCAAATAAAATAACGAGGAAACTATGTACAGAAATTAATTATAATATCGAATATGATGTGAGAGACGATTGGTTCTGATAGCCTTGTGTAAATATGACTGATCTAAGAATAACCTATAAAACTTGAATTATCCAATTGTTTAATTTTGTTTCTTTGAAATCATGAATCGATCATTCATTGTTCAACAACCATTAGAAACCTGGAATTATTGAAAGGCCGTCCTATCCTAGTATAGGACCTATCAACAGTGTGCGACATCCACTGCAGTAACGGGAATCGAACTAAGGACGTTCGGTTTCGCACGCAAACGCCTCACCATTAGATATTTGGCTAGGTATCCGATGATGTTTGTGTTGAATTTCAATCTATCCATAATAGAGAGCACCCATCATCCACTGTATTTAGTGAGTAATTACTTCTCACCTGACACCATCTATTAAACATGAATATGTATGTATACATATAGAGATTTCTGTCAATATCTCAAGTCATAGAACCATCACTTATTTATTTTAAGCAAGAAATTATTCTCTATCATCATCATCATCATCATCATCAAACTGATCAATGTTCTATTGTCTTATTTTCTAGTCTTTTCACACCAACTCATAATTGAATTCAATACTCCTCTTGTTTTTTTTAGAACAATAAAGCCATTAAATAAGTGCAAACACATTTTAAGGTTTCTACAAAACAATTGTTTAATTTGTTTATTTAGAAGTGTTGTATTGAAAATTCTAAACTATTTTTTTGTTGTTTCTATTCTATTTAGTCAATAATTACTGCATTTTTAATTAAAAAACTCTTTTATTGTTTAATTATTTAGAATTTTCAATTCTGAACTAGATATAATAGATAAATATAAATTCTATAATACAGTAAAATAGTGATCAGGTGTAATGTAAACTAGATGGCTTGGTGTGCGACGAAATCTTAGCATGGATACAGAAGGCTTGATTGGCTTTTGCCAATTTGTGTCACAGATTGCATAGGAGAAATATCCATCTGCTAAAAAAGTACGAATCTACCCGTCCTAACATACGAGTATGAAACATAGTCGTAGGTTAATAGTATTCGATCATCGGTGTCTTCGAAGCATTGCTTGTTGTAAGGAAAAGGGTATTAGGTAAGGATGGCAGATCAGTGGACGAAGTAGTGAGACTTTCAGTTGAGTTGGTTAGGACATTTATTACGAATCCCCGAACCACTACTGCCTCGGCGAGCGATGATGTCTGGTTTAGGAATAGGCTGGAAGAGGGCTAGGGGCGGACAAACCAAAAATATGGCAGAAATCCATGAAGTTGCTAGGAAGAGGACTGAGTCATGTTGCTAGATGTAGACTGCCTGGTTTGGTTCGGCGAGATGGTAGTAGCGGATGTTTAGAGACCTTGAACGACATGGATCAAAATAGTTTGCAATGGATCAGGTGAATCCATTCTATGTCTTTTATGAAATTCTAATCATCTGAACTGTTCGAGATTGTTTCTGCTCCTCTCTCCTTTCGTTTTAACTTGATTCCTCTGGGATGTACTTCACAAAGCATATCAAAGATCCCTAATGTTTTCTATTACGACTAGTACCATCAAAACCTCTACCACTATGGGATATGAACTGATACTTCTGTCCCTCTGTTCTAATGTGGTATGGCGACTTGAATTGATGTACGTACGTGCGGATTTCTACGTTGTAACTGATTCGATGACTAACTGACTGACATTGTTTCAAAAATCATAAACATGTGTGTAAAGTTAAAATCATTAATGAAATAAAATAAATTTGTTCTTGCTGAAAATGACTGTTGATTTAAATAAGTTTTATGTGTTTAAAATCACATCACAATGTGGTTAAGCAAATATATGATTTGCAGTGTATGTGCCAATGCGTTGAGCCCATAGGACTTGCCCTAGCTTCTGGACAAAGTAATTAACCTTATCTACCCGAGTTACTAAAGGCATATCTTTCGACCTTGTCGACCAATCGCTTATAATCTTGGTCGCTTTGATTTGAGTTTGTATTTGCTTTGCTTATTACAGGTCTGGGTTATTTTTGTCTGACCATAGATACTTAATCATGCCTTATCAGACTGAGTTGGCTTACTCACTTTCTCCTCTTTGCTTCGCTTTTCTTGTATGCTTTTTATTCTCATGTCTGTCAGAATGAACGATGGCGTAAAATAGAGTCATTCAACTGAATCCGTAGTAGGCTTACTTATTACCACCGTCGCAAAAACGGGGTTCACCTATGTATGATGTACAGAGAGTGAAGGAGGGATTTATCTCACAGAATATTCGACTATTTATCAAAACTAGGTCGTGGGCCACTAAAGTAATGAGCCCTCCTTCAAATTTAACGTAGCCTACTAAAAGTTTAATCTGTTAATAGCCTGATTCTAACTCAGTTAGCTCAAACAGGCTATACAACCAATATGGAGCAATCATTTACACTAATATATATCACGTGTTAACAGTAATCTACCTAAATCTGTTACACGGCTACAGAGATAGCTATTCGAAATAAAGAGCCACAGCTTTGAGTTAAGAAGAAATATGTCTGAGCACTCCTTTTGTCTTGGTCAACTTCTGGTCTGATTATTTTGAGTAACGTTCATACAACGTTGATCTTTGCATTTCCACACCTGAGACTTATCTTACTGACAAAACTTATCACTGTCATTATTATAACACTTGCACTAAGTAGCACTTCAATCATGTTATTACAATCCTAACATATGACTCGAATGCCTGTAATTTTAAATGATGCAGTTTGTCTTAAACCTGACCACTTCGTTTTTTTTCGATTTCTAATTTAGGTGTACGGAATTGTAAAACCTGAAAAGAATTTATTTAAGAAAAAAACTAATTACTTGACAGAGCATATTTGATGTAAAACAACGATCACCATAAAACTATAATTTAAAAATATAAAATGTATTCACTAGCGACTAGATTCGTGGGGAAATTCTCATAGTTCTAGTGGGAAGACGGGACCAATGAAGTTCAACTCTGTCGGGTGTAGGCAGTAACTACCAGAGACAATGGGTGAGGTTGGGTAAAATTCTTAGATTGATCAGATTGATCAGACATTAACATTGTTGGATGTCGCCGGCTCTGTGGTATAGAGATTAAGCGTTAGAGTACAAGATCAAATATCCTGGGTTTACGTCCCACAAGTTGCGAGAATCATGTATGCGCACTGCTGATGAGTCCTGTAGTGGGACGAAGAGGCCGTTCAATGCTTGTGCGTTTCTTATAGTGGTCTCATAATGACTGGTTCATATTTCAGTGAAAAAAACAATGTTTTACGCTTAAAGCAAACAGAATCACATGTGGAAAAATAACTTCTATTAATGTAGTTCCAAATGATAGCAAATAATTTTTTTAAAAAAACATTTAAAAATCTTACTCAGCTATACTATGAAACATTGAATCAACATTTGCACCAGTTTTAGCACTTGTCTCCCAGAACAACGCATCAGTTTGCTGGAAAAGATAAAGTTATTTATAAATAGAATACAGATACAAATTATTTAAAAACCAAAGAAGCACGTAATCTGTGTCAAGTTAATTGGTAGACAGAATTCATAAAAAAAGTTTTTACATTTATTCGAATAATGAGGTTGCTTAAAATCTTTAGATTATTTATTCAAAGTTAAACACTAACATTGTTGGATGTCGCCTGCTCAATGGTCTAGGGGTTAAGCGTTCGTGTTCAAGAACGAGGGTCCAGAATTCGAATCCTGTGAGTAGTAGGAGTCATAGATGCGCACTGCTGATGAGTCCCACAGTGAGACTTAACGGCCATCCATTGAGTTAAGGTTTCAAATAGTGATCTGACAGTGATTAATTCATAATTTCAGTCTAAGACAACCATCTTCCTAATTCTCTAATGCAATAATAATAAAGTTGGATCCCATACTAATTCACCTTTCATGTGGAGGACTACATACATATTCTTTATACATTTTTCTATGATATAATCAAAAACGTCTGGCCGCATTTGATGTAAGACATGCAATATAAAGGAATATATAAAGATGACAGATCATTATAAATTTTCATTAGAATTGAGTTGTTTTAGATGTTTTCTTTTCCTTATCCAGTTATGGAACTGATTACGTTTCATTGAAATAATGAATCAATCATTGTTGGACAACAATTAGATACCTGGAAACACTGAGTCGTCGTTCCTAGTTCTTAGTATCGGACTAATCAGCAGTGTGCATTCACGACCTGCGCACCCAAAATTTGAACCTGGGACCTTCGGTCTTATGCGTAAACGCTTAATCTCTAGACCATTGAGCTAGCAGCATTCAGCGGTATTCATGTCTAACTTTGACAGGGTTGAACTACACAAGTCACGTCTTGTCACTAATTACCCTAAGAATTTGTTCACAAAACTAGTTAATAGTTAGCAAGAACATTGAATGATTTTTGATATACAGAGTTCTTTAGATTGCTGTCTATTATTGAAATTATAAAATCAATCATTGTTAGATCACTATTCTTAATTTCCTTAATAATAATAATTATAATAATAATAAACATTCTCCATTACACTTTAACATAAAATATAAAGAATTTCAAACTAGGTAAATAATAACTAGTGGCAATTGTAAGTTATCCATTCAATATACTGTCAGTCACATTTATTCTATATTCATATTGTTCAATACAATCGAAATGTTGTCACGCTAACACGTCGTTCACTCAACCAATCAATCAATCATATCATGTTTCATGTATAAATCGGCTGAAAAATGCTTTTGTAGAATCAATAATGCTCTAATCAGAATCATAATGAAACATAATAATAGGTGTTTTATTTACATTAGAATTCATCACATCATAATAACATTATCAACGATAAACAAAGGGAATTTCTATTGACTATCAGTCTAAATGACTAATCAATCATTGTAAACTTTATGTTTACATAATGCAATTGTGGAGATTGTTGAATTACTTTTTCTAATCATGAATCAATTATTGTTAGATCGTCACTAGAACCATAGAAGCACTGAATAGCCGTTTCGTCCTCGTATGAGACTCATCAGCAGTGCGCATCGACGATACCAGCTACTCACAGGATTCGAATCCAGGAGCTTCGGTTTAATTTCAACGAGTAACTCGACAATTTCTACAGCTTGATTACGCGAATTACATGTGCTCACTAATGACCAGTTCCGTATGAAAGTTTCTCCGAGTTCTAATGCGAAATCGTGGATATGGCCTACCGAAGAGTCCCATGCCAGGACGAAACAAACATTCAGTGCTACCATGGTTCTAATGATAGTCTCACACTGATCAATTCATGATTTCGAACATTGACTCTGTATATTCGATTTTTAGACAATTGAAGACATTCATTCAATAAACGATTCTCATTGGTAATAATGGCTAACAATGTCGAATGATAATGTTGTGTGAGATGGTATTAGGACCTTTCACTGTAGAACAACACAAAATAAATTATTGAGGAAATGTATTTAAAAAAATTAAATGAATTTTCATTTGAAAGGAAGAGTCTTTGGGCAATTTAACTATTTTATTGCCATTTTATTTTACATTTTTCTTCCTCAAAAATTTTTTTCTCGTATGTATTTCTGACAGTTTTTAAATAAGAGAGTTATTATCCCAATTTTTTTGAAAAAAAAGTATTATCATTTGTCATTTTCATAGGTTGATTTTTTTTCCGTCAAAAAAGAAAATTAATTTCACTTTAGAGAAGTTTTAGTCCAAAGAAATTGAAATAAGAATTTATCGATTTTAGAGAAATTATTAAACTGTCATATGCTCACTAGTGATAAGCTTCGTGAGTAAATTTCTCAGAGTTGTTAGTGAGACGTTGTGACCAATGGAGTTCGCCCGTCTATGGTGTGAGGTAATTATTGCCCATCGAAGACAGTGTGTATTGTTGCGAAATATTGTGAGCTGATTAAAATTAGACATAGACATCATTGAATTGTGGTGGTGTTTCGTTCTCTGAGCTGGATGTTTTGGTTGTAGAGCTTTCATTATTCTTCTGAACAATATCACCAGCAGAAACTTCAGATGGAGGTATACGATAGATCACCCGAAAAAATCTAGACTTAAATACAATATGACCACTATCAACCAGGTGTGCTAAGATAGAACTGCGTATTGTCTTTGACTGGACCTTCATAAACCATGCTGGGAGATGTTAACTTATTCGTTGGTTAAGTTGCCTGGTAGTGCACTCGATAGAGCTCTCTCCATTATTTTCACATCCTGTATTTATTTGAAATTTCCTGCCTCTTCCTGTTTTTATTCTTTACTATCTGATTGTGTACATACTTCTTATTACGTAATGGTTTTAATGTTTTGTAATGATTATTTTAAGTCTATTCATCCACGTTTGATGTGCTATTGATTAAACTTTTGTTATCGTATTTTATTTTTCTTACCACTACTAACAGTACACCTGTCTTCTATACTATTAACTTGTACTTTTGCCTATTATGTGTAATGACGTAATCTATTTCATTTCATTGTGATTATTGACTCATAAATTGCCTTGATTGGTTTAACATTTTCATATAAATATTCATGTATATTAGAGTAAAGCCTGATGACGATCTGATTGAAAACGATATTCGCTTATATGTTTTGTTATGTATGTGTTGCTCACAATATTCTTTCTCCCTCAGTTTAGTCACAACATTCTTTTGGATCAGGCACCTTTCCCCCCAGTGGTAACTTGTGAGTGACGTTCCGCTGCATGCTACTCAGACGCCACGTTGAGATTGGCATGCTTCATACTAATGCGGGAACTGATGAGTAGAGGGTATCCATTACCACTTGCACGCTGTAACCGAACTCATTGGCTTCGATCTCTCACGTGAAAGCCTAACTTCTAGACCATGGAGTCATCATCTATCAGTAATAATGCCAAACTTCAATCAATCCACACTATTGCTCATCCATTGATCTACTCATTGTTTTAAAGGAACTCAACAATCTGCACAATTTATGCGGATAATTACCATGTCCTTATTTATGACTAGCTTTGTGTGAGTTGCGGTGCCTAAACATGACCAGTGAAATCTAAGCGTGTCGGCTGTGAGACATTTACCCTTCAAAGACAATGAACGAAGATTTCACTAGACCGTGGATCGACATTCACATCACTGGATGATGAATCAGTGGTCCAAGAAGTGAAGCATTCACGCGCGAGACAGAATGTCCTTGGTTGGATTTCGGCCTGTGAGAGGTTATGGATGTACATTACTGAGGAGTCCCATTTCGGGACGAAACCACCGTCCTACGACTTCAGTTTTCCGAAATTGATCTAACTAAGATGCGTTCGGGATCTCACAAGTTTCCCTAACGGACAACAATTTTTACTGATACCTTCAAAGTGATAACTTTAGAATTCTATATGTTGCCATTAGTGAATTAGAATGCTTGACGTAAAATAATAAAATACCACACACATACAGTAAGTACTATCTTATTTGAATGAATTGTGTAGGTATGGGTATTGGTTCACAATTTCTAGTTCCTGATGGTGGTCTAAACATTGTGCACAATTCATAATTTTCATGAAATCTAATTTATTATTTGTCAATGAAAAATTGGTATTTTCTTTTTTAAAAAAAACATCTGACTAATTATAGTAATATTTATTATCTAAAACCGAGACAATAAATGATTAATTGACTTAGCGAAAACACAGTATAGAGAAAGGAAAAAAACAATGTTGAATGAAATAAATTTTTACAAAACATCAACACGTGATTTGTTTCTTGTTTATTCATAGACAAGTAGTAGTTACCTGTCATTATAATCATTCATGATCATTGAAATCATGAAACAGTCATTTGTTCTATCACTATCAGAAATCTGACAGCACTAGATGGCTATTTTGTTCTGGTGTGGGACTACTCGTCAGCAGTGCACATCTATGACCTGTTCATATGGTTTATAGAACCTGGGACCTTCGGTCATACATAAGAACGCTTAACCTCCTGATCACTGTGCTAGTGGCATCCAACCGTGTTAATGTCTAACCTTAACTAATCCAACTTATTGCATAGCCTCATCTGATTTCGAATGCCAGCTCAGAAATCTCAAGATTAGCGTTAGCGATGGAAACCGAAGGTCCTGAGTTCGATTCCCGCAAGTGGGGGGTTGTAGATGAGCACTGCTGGTGAGTGTCAAACCAGGACTCATTGGCGATTCAGTGCTTCGAGTTTTCTAATGTTAGTCCGTCAATGATCGACTCATTATTTCAGTGAATAACAACAATCTCCGTCACTCAATGATGAACGTTATCATTATTATTATTTCGAATTTTATAAAGTTAATTAGTAAGATATTTGGAATACTGAAAACAGTTAAATAAATGAATTTGATTAGTCATAATAGGGAAGAGATTTGTATACTTGATTTTGAACTACGTTCTAAGTATTAGGGTTAATGATATTATCGGTTTATTTGAAAATTAAAGTAGATGGGGTGGATTTTGAACTCATTATCTATTAGATAAAAGTTGAACGTTATAACCAGGTTGAATGGATAGGATAATGCACGTCCGTTGATAGATGTAGATCTGTTAGTAAGATAATTCTGAAATCATAACGATACGTAAACTAACGACACAATTTATATCAGTGTCATTTCAAGGAATAAATTCTATCTGACACATTCTTACAGTGAGATCTCGCTTCTGTAACAGATCACATACATACATGAAATAGCAATGCATTTCATGAAATGTTTCCTGATTGGAGAGATTGCGTAAGAAAGTTAGCTCAACATAAGCTTTGGCGCGTGACAGTAGGAAGTGTGATTTCAATTTTCAAAGAAATTACAGGTTCTCTCAAGATCCAAAATCATATTATTAAATGTTGTGGTCAAAGGAACTATTCAAATGAATATCAACCCTCAAAAGAACTTGTATACGTATTATTTGAACACGAAAATTGGTGTAGAAGGACACTTTAATGTTTGTGCGTCATAAAAATCATTGAAACTTTTAAGTGGGTTGTGATACTACTCGAATGCTGGAACCGAAACAGAAGGTTTCCTTAGGGAGCCACTCCACGAGCCACTCGCACAAAAGTCTTATTCATTAAGCTATGAAGTAACTTCACGAGATTTAGTCTCATGGCAGGTGGCGACTAACAGTAAGGTCATATGCCGTTCATTCAGTCAGGATCCTGGAGTCCATGTACACCACTGATTTGGAATAAGGGTTTTCCAGTAACCCTAAATAGTTTCTCCACACCCACCGACACGGTTGAAGCTCAGATAACTCGCTTTTCCTCTTCCCACTTTGGTTAATAACATGCCTGCTGAGCGACGTGGTGATTAGGACTTCTCTATCAATAACACATGATCATATGAGACTAGTTTGAAAGGCATAGAGGATTCTTACCATTCTCGGCCGTACCAGGGCAAATGGAAGGTATGTTTAGATTGATATATTACTTCATGGTAGACATTATCATAAACTGATCATAATTTACTAATCATATCTCCATATTATCAGCAGCAACTGACATCGACATCAAATACTTAAATAAATCTGCTATGCTAATCATTGCAAAATATGTATTCAACGTTTTGCACTAATTATTCCCATTCATAAACATTATTTTTTTCAGCTTATTTTGATAGATTTAATTATTCACTTGTTTCACTTAAACTACATGACACTGCATGGCCGGCTTACACCCGTTCAATGTTCAACGTTTTTACATAAGTTCATTTATTTGTCTGTCGATTTGAATGTACTTTATCTATTGTTTATTTATTGTTCATGAAAATTAAGTATCATCTATTTTCGTATTGATACTACTCATTAGTAACATTTAAAGAAGCTACTCATTGATTGGAATCAAACATAATATATTATGAGAAACTAGTTCAGTAGTTTAAACATTAAGTAGGGAACACAGAATTGAGGTTGTCGATGCATATTTTTGTGGAGTTCCAGTACTTTCTGATTTTCAGCGGTACCTACTGTGCAAGGTTGAATGCTTTTGTAATCAACAGTCTTGAATATTGTTCAAATTTCAAGGTTGGTTCATATTCAAAGACTGGCATTACCCAGCAAATCATAGATTTGTGAGTGATCATTACGTCATCGGATGGAATTCGTTGGTGGTGCATAGTCCATGATTGTTTCAAATATCCTGGATATGACCCTCATGTAATCACATGCATATAACTACTGACAGAGAACACTGCCTTCTTGTTAGCGAGGACATTGTTTACTAATGCAAGAGGACGAAAAGCAAGTGTCCGAAGCTTCAACCAAGCTGGTAGGTACGGAAAATCTATCTAATAGAGCTGAAAAATCCTCATTTCAAACCAATGGAACGAACAGCATATCATCCTACTGTTGGTCACCGTCTATTATAGGACTGCATCTCGTCTAGTAGTTACTCCACCACTTAGTATATTAGATTTTTGGTTGAACAGTTCAAGAAGTGGCCAACTATGAAAATCACCTGTTTCGATTAGGGCATTATCAAGACAGTACATCAACTCACTTTCAAATTCAATGATTAATCTGGTACATAATTATTTAGCTGGCCTATTGTACCAATAAATTTATATTTAAATAGAAAATTGTTTAACCAAACAAAAAAACATCATAAATTACTTTAGCTAAACGTTCAGCTTCTTTTTTAGTAACGACACGATTTCTTTCTTCATCTACTTTATTTCCTACTAATACAATCTGTACATTATTATTGTTATTCGATTGTATATTTGCATTGACTTCACTCATCCATGACTATTAAAAAAGAAAGTGAAAAAAGTGAAAAGATAAATCAGTAAACTACTGAAATCATGAATCAGTCATTGTTAGTGCACAACTGAAAACCTGGAACAAGCACTGGACGATTCTTTCGTCCCATTAGGAGACTCATTAGCAGTGTGCATTTATGACTCTTGCTACTCTCAGGACTTTTTACATTGATCAGAAATAGACATTAAAACTGTTGGATATCACCAGCTCATTGATCCAGAGGTGAAGTGTTTGTGCGCAAGACCGAAGGTCCTGGTTTCGATTCCTGAGAGTAGTGAAAGCCGTGGATGTACACTGACAGTGATGAGTCCCATACCGGGACAAAATGGCCGTGTAGTACTTCCAGGTTTCTAATGATGATCTATCCTTATAACTATTCAGTGTCATAACGTTTCTGAAGCATAATTTTATCGTACTACGAATCGGTGGCCTATGCTCCACCTGACACCCAGACAGTGTTGAACTCCGCCGGTCACGATTTCATACTATAATTCTGAGTATTATTACCTCACGAAGCTAATCACTAGTAAGCATAATATTGAAATTTTGCTTTATACAGTTATGGAGATCATTGTTTTTTTCTAACATTGAACTCATAAATCAATCAACCAGTTCTTGTTCATTCATTCAATCATAAAAAGAAAGAATACAAGTACTTAATAAACCGTAAGTGAACAATGGTTGATTTTCACTTATTATCATTCTAATTAACTTTTCTACAAGATGTGATTGTTTTTATTGACAATCAAATATATTACTAGATATACGTAAGTACTTTCTCTCTCTGTGTGTGTATCTTACTCTCTCTCTCACTTTCTCTAAATCGGGTTATTGTGATTGAAAAGCAACATAAAAATATGTCATTAAAAATATTCTTTCTATGAATATTTCTATGGTTACCATAAGTGATTGGGTTGACAAGAAAAAAAGTGACAATATAAACAGTGAAGTGTATATTTTGACAAATTACATCAATAATAGTAATAATAATAATGGTGACAAATGTGTAAAAACACAAACCTCCAAAACTCTGCCCGAAAATATCGTAACAGTGCACACTAGTGACTAGCTTCGTGAGGAAATTCTCGGAGTTCTAGTTGAGAAGACATGACCAATGGAGTTCAAACCTGTCGGGTGTAGGCAGTAACTACCAAAGACAAATGGGTGAGGTCGCGCGAAATCCCTATATCAATAAGAGTTAGACATTAACACCGTTGGATGCCGGCCCAGTGGTCCGATGATTAGGAGTTCGCGAACAATACCGAAAGTCCCGAGTTTGAATCCTGCGAGGTGCAAGATTCGTGGATGTGCACTGTTTATGAGTCCTATACTAGTACGAAATATTCATCAAGTGCTTCTAGGTTACGCAATGGTGGTCTAACATTGATCGATTTATAATTTAAATAAAATTTCAAAAGTTTGATATTTTCAAAATCAGCCATTACTCACATAATAAATATTTACATTATTGTGTGAAAAAATTAAATTTATTCATTAAGATTTTTCCCGTTTATTATTTCTTATTGTTTTGTTTTTGAAAGTTCTGTCCGTAAAAACTTCTTCCAGAAAAAATTTTTTAGTTTATTTCAAGTATCGTTATTGACTATGTCTAATCAGTAAGTGAGAAGTTACTTGCATAGTTAACCTAGGGTTTGAATTGATGACTGTTTTATTCAAATGTCAATATGGACTAACAGATTGATGAAGGTTTGCTTCAAAAATACTGATTACTAATAATAATATTGTAACTTATATAGTTAAATGTTATTTTAAAATGACGACTTTTACACATTAATCGACAACATATCGAGAATTGCTGACAATATGTTATTGAAATTTTAATTAAAAATAATGAATCAATCATTGTTAGACCACTGTTAGAAACTTGGGAGCATCACATGATAGTCTCGTCTTAGTACGACGCATCCACGACTCCTGTACACAACAATCGATCCCAGGACATTCGGTTTCGCGCACGAACTCTTAACATCTCAGCTATAGACCCGGAATCCAACGGTGTTAATGTCTAACTTTGATCAGTCGGATTTATTGCGCAACCCCACCCATTGTCTTCAATGTGTAATTGCCTACATCCACTCAGGGTTGAACTCCACTGATTGCGGTTCCTCACTATAACTGCGGGAATTTCTTTACGAAGCTAGTCCTTAGTATGAACATTTTTATGATTTTAGCTTTGAAGTTATGAAGATTGATGAGTTTCATTGATGGATGCTCATTTTTGAGTTGTCCCACACTAGAAGGAAACAACCATTTAATGCTTCCAGGTTTGTCGTTGGCGGTCTGACAATGATACTAACCGGTGTATTCCTTCAACTAAATCCTAACTAATCAGAAAGGTTTAACTATTTGTATGTGTGTAAAGGATTATTAAGACCGAGTTTGTTTTACTGAAATCAAGGAAAATATTTCAAATAAGATAGAAATTGTCAATCGTTTTAAAACTTGTCTATTATATTATTGATTTGTTATTTAGACAGAAGAAGATATCATTAGAAGACATACATAACAATATCAGTTTGAAAATATTGAATTTTATTATTGATACTTATCGCTAGTCAAACTTATTGCTTTGCTCCTATGAAATTACTTCCTACATAAAAGGAAAACGTTTATGGTGGAGTTGGGTTCACCACTTCAGTGGCTTACTATCTAACTCTAGTTCAGATGAACTATTGAATATACTGTGAATCATATATCCCCTTCACTCTCCGTATATCATGCTAAGGCAAAAAGCGTTTGTACGACGACAATGTTTGAAGCCAGATACGAATTCATTTGGATGAGTTTATTTCATGCAATCGTTCACCTAGACAGATGTCAGAATACGAAGCGTAAAAGGCATAGCGAAGCTACAGGAAGGAGGCAAGTGAGCTAACTCAATGTGATGCGGCAGACGAAAATAAGCCAGACATTTGACAACTGAAGTAAGCAGCATTCGAAAATAAACAACCAAGGGGATGAGCGGATCATGAATAAGGTAAAAAGACACTTGAATAATAACTCGAGACAAATGGGACAAGCTTTGTAGGCTCGACATATTTATACACAAACTACAAGTTTAAGGTTCAATTCCGTCTTATGGGGTCATGGAGTCTCCTACTAGGACGAATCTGCCATCCAGTGATTCTACGGTTCCTTCCAAATGGTGGTTTAACATTGATTAATTCATGATTTCGATGAAGGGAAAAAAAGCAGACAAATTTTCTTTGAGATACTCGATGTTTTAAGCAGAGATTTGACAGAAATAACAACGAAGACCAATGAAATGTACGAAATTACCAATAAGGTTTTCGATAAAGTTATCCACATTTTGAATGATATAGTTTTTGAATTTGTACCATGAAACATAAGTAAATCATTGTTAGACCACCAACAGAAACCTGAAAGCATTGGACGGTCGTTTCGTCCTGGTATGAGACTCATCAGCAGTGCGCATCCACGACTCCTGCTACTCTCAGAATTTGAACCCAGGACCTTCTTTCCTACACGCGAACACCTAACCTCTGAACCACTAAGCCGGCGACATCCAACACGTTTGATGTCTATCGCTCTAGGAATTTTTCGCGACCTCGTTCATTTTTCATTGATGGTTACTGCCAACACCCAAAAGGTTTAAACTTCATCGATCAGGACTTTTCACTAGAACTCCGAGGAACCTGACGAAGCAAGCCACTAGTGAACACATTGTTTTTGATTTCGCATTTCTACTTTTTAAATATTTCATTTCGTACTATCGAAAATATTTGGTTTTTCATTTGTATAAATTGTGGAGTATCAAAAAAAAAAAGAATGACAAATCAATATTTTTAAACGGAAAACAAACAAACCAGCAAACTTATTTCCCATCTCACCTACCATCATGACGTAAGCATAACAATGATGTAATCATTCAAACGAATATACGTAAAAATAATAATATTTTATTAACAAGTGTAATTATTTCTTTGTTATTCATTTAATGCATACATACACTGAATAGTATTATTCTCATTCATTATTCTATAAAAAATATTCTTTTCATTATTGGATTGTAGAAATTGTTGAGTTGTAATTGAAATTATGAATTGATCAATGTTAGACATGAAAGCACTAGATGGCTGTTTCATCCTAGTTAGGGACCGATTTTTCAATTTGCTCAATACGTTGGATGAATGAAAGTTAAACAATAACACCGTTGGATGCCACTGGCTCAGTGGTTCAAAGGTAAGGCATTCGCATGTGAGACTGAAAAAAAATGCTGGGTTTGATTCTCTTTTGTGAATGACGTGGATGCTAAATGATGATGTTGAGCTTCATAGTAGGACGAGATAGCTGCCCAATGCTTCCATATTTCTAAAGGTGGTCTTATAATAATCGATTCATGATTTCAAGTGAAACTCAACAATTTTCACAACTCTGTACTGAAAATTAATTAACTTTCTTTGAGAAAAAACAGTTTTTTTTAAAAAATAAAAAAATGTTAATCATAAGGAATGTAAATAATTGTTTTTAATTTCATCGAACTTAGGAACTTAGAACTCAGGTGCGAACCTCTTATGTCTAACTTCAGTCAATCCATGGTATTGCGCTATCCCGCCGATTGTTTTTGATAGGCTACTGCCTATACCCTGAAATCATTGTTAGATCACCATTAAAAAACTTGGAAGCCCTGTATGGCAATTCGGTCATTGTACGGGAATACTGAGCAGTGCACATCCACTAACCTATATGTCAGACTCAAATCGAGGATCTCTGGTCTAGCGCGTGAGCGCTTAACTTCTAGATCCAAGATATTTCCTAGCCCCACCCACACAGTCTTCGGTCGTAAACTATTCCACAATTGACACGGTTGTAATCCACTAGTCACAACTTTTCACTAGAACTCCAAAGGCTAATAGTCACTAATAATCAATGGTGGATTCATGCCTTTCATGTAATTCAACAATCTTTACAACTTTTATGATGAAAATTATTTAATTTTCTTTAAGAAATAAATATAATCCTTTTTAATTACATTTTAATCGTTTACATCAAAACAGAGAATAATTTGACAATGATTTTGCATAAACTAAACACAATGCTATAGAGATTACATATTTACACGTATTCACACACACACACACACACACACACACACACACACACACACACACACACACACACACCCCACTGTAAACATTCATGGACAAACAACTAAAAACACCAGTAGTGTATGTATGCCTGCTTGTTGTGTGTATTATGTGAGTACAAGCAGTGGAGTGAACAGTGAGTGTATTCATCATCATCAGTTGGTAAGATACTTGTTTTTTCTTTCTTTCTTCTATTTTCCCCTTTTTCATTGTTAAATATTTTTTAAATTATTATTATTATTATTATTATTATTATGATACAGTCAGTGTAAATGGATTGTTTATCATCTTTAATGTGAAACATAAAACTCTCAAAACAATTTTATCATCATCATCATCATCACTAGTAATAATTAATTATCAAGAGATATTATTCAACTGGAATAATATTTGCTCATTATTATTATTTATTAAAGATAAAAATAATTAAAAAGGAAAAATAAATTTGAATTTTAGTTTTTTTTTCTTAATAAATTTATTTTATTTTATTTATTTATTGAATTTTAAACTTGGGGAAAAGAGAAGTAAACAAATTTGTTTTTTTAAAAAAAAGATATATATATATATATATATGTAATTCAAACAAAACAACATTGAAAATTGAGTATGATCGACCATTTTTTGTGTGGAGGGAATGTTGAAAAGGAAACCAAACAAAAACGAACAAACAAACAAACAGACGAATCAGCAACAGTTTACTTGAATAATTTTCCATGTTGATAACAATTGTATCTTTAGGCTCTTAAAAAAAAATACACTTTGGAGATGGCATGACAAACTTATTTTGTAAACAGTTTTTGATACTTTTTGTATTGATTTTGTTAATTTTCACAGCTTGTACATTCACTATGAAATTGTTGTACATTTTGTGTGACCTTGAATATATCAGGCACACTTACTGCTTCCATTTTCCGTTCACTGTACACTAGCACGGCACTCGCCGCTATACACTATCAAATACACTTTATACATACCATTGGAGTTCTCGTCTGCTTATTGGATTATATTTATAATAACTAAAACGTATGTTATCTACTTTATAGACTGCAGTCACATACACATACTGATCTTTGGATTAACATAGCATTTGGCATATTGAATTCATCTTAGTTGTGGTAAAGTACGACTAGAACAAATCGAACACGCACTACTAGCCGTATAAAGCAACGTCCTTATATTTTTTATTGTATTTATCGCATTTAACTGATATATTTCAATATACGTTTATTGATATTCGATAACTTTGTTAATATTTTGAAATACTATATTGATTGGTCCACCACAACACTTTTTTTAGTGAAATACTAACTAACACAAAATCAAGGTCAACTTAGAGTGTCTGTCCTGTTGTGTTGTTGTATACTACTCAAAACGTAGCTCTGAAATTACTGCTGAAGCAAAGAGTGGTTTTTGAAGATAAAAAGACATGTCAAAGAAGACAGCCAGGAATCTGGAGTTCAAAAATGTCGGGTGTGAAGCAGTGCCCACCGAAGACTATTTGGTTGAGGTCGTACAATATCGTGGATTGATTGTGACTTTGTGGTCTAAAGGTTAGGCATTCACGCGCAAGATCAAAGGTTCTAGTTTGATTCTTGTACGTGGAGGTGATTGTAGATGTGCACTGCAATGTGTATCGTACTAAAATGAAACGGCCGCCTAGTGCTTCTAGGTTTCTAATGCTAATTTAACATTTAACGACTCATGATTTCATGTATACATCAAACCACCATTCAATCAATCAGTCAACAGCAATTTGGGACTTTGTACGTATGTACATCAGTTCAAGTTGCCATAACATATTAGCACACAGATGCTATTGTCGATTCAAATCCAATAACGGTAGAGGTAGTGAAATTATTAGCAGTATTCGAAGATATTAGGGTTTGATGATATTATTCAAGAAGTAGAATCTAGTGAAATAAACTTAAAAACAAAAAGATAAATGTGATAAGAAACTTCGAGAGTTAGGATTTGAGAGAACACAAAAAATAAATTCACCTGCGCCATTGCAAACGGTTTTGACCCATGAAATTCAGGTTCTCTATCCATCGATTACTATCGTCTCGCGAGCCATAATCAGGTAGTCAACACCTACCAACATGACTCAGTCCACTTGTCAGTGAATTCATAGATTTCTGTCATGTTTTGATCTGGCCGCCCCTAGCTTTCGTCCAACCTATTCCTACATCGTAAAACATAGTTCGTTGAGGCAGTCGGTAGTTAGACATGCCTAACACATATCCCAATCACCTCAACTGATGAAGTTTCAAAACGTCATCCATTGACCAGCTACCCTTACTTAGGACCCGTTCCCTAACAACAGCATTGTGCTTACCCAGTTGTCCCGTGATACACGAGCAATGCTTTGGAGACACCTATGATCGAATACCAGCAACCTACGAATGTCAAACCACCATTGAAATACTTCTGTCATGGACATAATTAAATGTCTTTTCTAAAGAAAAAACGAAATACCAAAAAACCCACTTCTATAAAAATACTATTACTACTACTACTTACTTTTATATTATTAAATGAATCCACTTTGCATATATCGTACACAAGTAGGACAGCTAAATAATGGTTAAAGGAAAAGTAAGAGAATTACGCAATTGATTTGCATATTATGATGATTATGGGGGGAGGGAAGAAAAGAAATTTACAAATAGAAAACAAAAGTTATTTATAACTCATTTCAGTATTAGATCAATATGGTGCTTTCAGCGCCGCATTAGTACAGGTTTGCTTGTTTCTTCTAGTTTGTCAGTAAAAAAATGATTGTTGTGTGTATTGGTAGTGTAATTTTGTTTGAATCAAAAATTAGATTCACTGATTGAACTTTCTTTAGATTTGTATTTTCCAACCAATGGCACGCAATTGAAAATCATTGACACATTCAAAGTAGATAATCAATACTATCTGGGAAAGTTGATTTAAATCCAATCATTCATTCGACACTATTGCTCGTCCAAATACGAGATGAAGGCGGAGGGTTGGGCATGCGATTGGAGGACCTCATTACTTAGAAAACAAACTAGCTATTAAAACACTAGTCAGGAGAAATAATCTAAATCATCTAAACGCTTTCCTGAGAGTTGGAAGGTCTTCATTTAGACGAATCATGACACCTCATGGTGAAAGTCCAGTTTCTTCTAACTTGATGAGGTTGATATTCTTCTGACAAGCAGAGCAACTATTACTGTAGGTACATGCAATGTTCACACAATGTGGAAGACCGGAAGAATCATTCAAGTTGCTAAAGGAATGATAAGATGCTTGGCACAAGTGAAACCTATTTGATGTAGACTGGAGAAAAAGAAATTAGCTTCAGAAGAGATTCTGTTGTACTCTACTGACACGCACACACACACATACACACTCACAAGTAGGTAAATACGCAAAAACTTAGATGTCCAAAAGTACAGTACACAAATATACTTATCAAGTATTGAATACATTGAGCATAATCTTACTTACCATTTGTATCACGATAATACGATTTTGTTAAACTACGAAATTTTTCTTGTCCAGCTGTATCCCAAATTTGTAAACGGACTAATTGATCTTTGGCTTTGACAACTTTTGTCTTATAAAAAAATAAAAAATATTTTTTCGTGTAATTTTAATGATAAATGGATGTTTTTCATGAAAAATAATTAATAACTGTTCAATATTGATCATCATCATCATCAACAACAACAGATAAATTTGTCAGCAAATGATAGTACACAGGTGTAGTGTATACTACTTGCAACAAGATTTATAAGTAGTATACAGTGGAGTATTGCACAGAAGTTACTGTTAGAGAGAAGAGGGTTGGTGTTCTTTTAAAGATTAGAAGACACATTGAAGAAGACCACTAGGAATCTGCTTGTTTGGCAACTGGAATTTTTCAAATAAATCAGTTATTCCATCCAGGTCTTAAAATCTTCCTTCATTACACAGGTAATCTATTCAAAATACTCATATTGTAGAGGAGAACGATTATCTGTAGTCGAAAGTTTGTTGAATAATGCAATCTCGTCTAAAATTTATGTTAGCGATAACATGGTATCAAATACTTCAGTGATACTTAATGTCTACTACATGAAAAATAATTTGAATGTATTCAGTTAGAGGTTTACTTTAAGACTTTTAAGTGAAAGTGTTCGAAGAACTTTGCAATATCTTCAGCCTAGGTAAGTAGGTAGGAAGGTAACTGAAAATCTGCCTTCGATCATAAGTAATAGGAATAGATTATCGTACAAACAAATGATTGCTGTGTAAAAATAAAAAAATTAGTAATCAGTTATGCAATCGATTGAAAATTTGAGAGTGAACAAGGAGTGTCAGTCTATTTATATTAAGACGAAACGGTCTGTCAGTGCTTGCAGGTTTCTAATGGTGGTCTGATATTGATCAATTCATGATTTCGAAAAGTCACTCAACAATATCCCCTACCTCATACTGCATTTTCATTTTATGGTAAGTTTCATTTGGTCTAATAATATCTATCTATTGCTTAATTGTTGATCCGTTAACTGAGGTTGTGCATGACTGATATTGACAATGTGATATAAAAAATTATTCCCACAAAATCATATCAATTGAACAAACTGTGATTCACACTGAGATAAGTTTCTGAAACCACTGTAGGACATTGTGAATGATGTATTTTAGGCAATGTTAAGAGTAAAACAATGAATCATTGAAAATTGAAAATTTAACATTCAACACATTAAAACAATCACTTAATGATATGAAATCTCAGGTTTTATAATGATAATAATAATGACACTGTTCTTTAAATGTTAATGTTTGTAATTATTTGACAATAAAATCAATTTATGACAATCTATCAAAGAGGTTTAATTAATCCAAGTTATTAAAATTTTAAACTATTATACATAAATATTAGTAAATATATATAGTTGTTTGTAGTAATGTATAGTAGCTGGCAATAGAATCCAACACGTGCGTTTCGAGTCATCCGGGACTCGTTGACTGGAAATACTTCTGCCATTCAGAGTACCTGTTCACAGACGGACTTCAACACAGTACTGTTTGTTTTAAAGATTATCACGTTAACTATTGAGCTACTGAGTGCAGATAGCCAGTCAGTTGTGAAATGGTATGAATTGTAATTCAGTTTTATTGGTTATTGGAATCCTATCATTGATGTATAACATTAAAATTAATCAGTTTCATTGGTATATGCATATGCTGTGTGGAATATCTTTATATGACCATTAAATAACAAGCATTATTTGACAAACGTTGATGTGTTGGCCAGACACTATCAGCAACAACCTATTGTGAGAAACAACAAACCAGATTCCTATTGAGGAAGAAATTAGGAGAATGCTCTGAAGGTGGATGGGATGCACACTGAAGAAATCGCCTAACTGCGTTACAAGGCAAATCCTGATATGAAGTCCTCAAGGCCAAAAGAATACAGATAGATTAAAGAACACATTACTCTGAGAATTAGGATCAGAAATGAAAAGAATGAACAGCGATTGAGTAAAACCAAAAAGGCAGACCCAGGACAAAGTAGGTTGAAGTTTGCTAATCGGTTGCCCATGCTCCGCATTAGAGATGATAGAAGTAAGTAAGTAAGTAAGCATAGATTATGTGTAAAATTAACGAAAATAGATAGTGGCTAACAATGGAATTCAAGATGTGCGTTTCATCCTATTTGTCACTCATCAATTTAATATACCTCCACCAATCATAGTTGATATTTACTTCACAGGAAACAGTCTACTCATATATATCAAATAAGAAACTGATCAATAGAATGATTCAAACACTTCATACAAATGATTTCATTAATTGTTTTCAACAAATCGATTTGAGTGAAGCATAATCTTTCTCAAGTGACGATAACCTGTTAGATTTAATTTATTTTTTTTTCATTTGTTTGTTATAATTTGATACGATAAAAAAAATAGATGATTAACAATATATATTTATTGTCTACCAAAAATCAGTATGACAGTTTAATGGGTTTTAATGTGTGTATTTTGTTAGGTATCAGATATGAGTTGTGATTAGATTTCCATACATCACATTGTACATTGATCAACGAATTATATTTTGTTTTTGTTTTAATCCAGTATTCAATGATGAGTTCAAAACAAAACGAAACAAAAAAAATTAGCTTATAAACTATTCTCCATTAGTGTAACTAAATGAATAGGTATAACGTAATGCCATATGAACAGATTGACTTTTTTTTTTACAAAAAAACAACTTTTTTTCAGTAGTACAAATCGTGAACTGAACTTAGCTGGAACAAGTTGCTTTTGTACCTGGTTCTAGCAATAGACGCCTGTTTGGTTCTCCTTTTGAACTCCTTAGCATTTCACAATTACGATAGTAGTGTACACTCACAGTGCTAGATGATATTCAGTCTAGAATGTTTGTATTTTACTACATATATATGTTATCAGAGTTTCGTTGGCTAGACACCATCAGCAACAACTCACTGTGGGAGAGAACAAACTAGATTCCAGTGGATGAGGAAATCAGGAAGAAGCGGTGGAAGTGGATCGGACACACACTACGAAAAGCAGCTAACTGCGTCACAAGACAACCCCTCACGTGGAACCCTCAAGGCAAAAGGAAAAGAGGAAAGCCAAAGAACACACTACGCCGAGAAATAGAGAAAGATATGAGAGGAATGAACAAACATTGGACAGAACTGGAGAGGGAAGCCCAGGACAGAGTTGGTTGGAGAAAACTGGTGGGCGGCCTATGCTTGATTGGGGGTAACAGGCGTAAGTAAGTAAGTAAATGGTATCAGAGTGGTTAAAGTGTACGCTTTTTTCTTCAGACTCCCACTTGAAAAAACGAGCTGATTCTTGATTATCTTCTTTCATGCGTGATCTAATCTTCAAAACACTTTAGTCGCTTCAGACGTTTACATCCGACACTGTCTGCCTTTCAGTAATAACTTTTAACGATACTCCATTGCATACTACTTATAAGCCACGTTGCGAGTAGTACAAACTACACCATAAAAGAGTGAATAATCGTTCAATGCTTTACAGCTGCCAATGATTCTATAGATATTGTAATAAAATTCATTTTCAACCAGTATAAAATGTCCACAAAATGATCATCGTTTATTCATGAACATTTGTTTGTTACTGACTTATCTTGACTCGGAGAAAAGACCTGAAGTTGTGAATGATAGTTTTTTAATTGACGGACTGAACCACAAGAAGAAAGAATAGCTACTCTTCTATCTAAGACATTCCATCGCAGTCATAGGATATTGTGATCTTGATAAAGAACCTAGAGGAACACATGACATTGAGTCAGATGTATTACACAGATATAGAACTATAATAGAATACTACTAATAATGATAATAAAATCAAATAAACTTCACCTTATAATCGATGCCAACAGTTGAAATGTAACTACCTTTAAGGAAAATACCATCTTTGAAACGAATTAATAATGAAGTTTTGCCAACACATGAATCACCAATCAGAAGTAACTAAAATATATATGAAATGAATAAAATACGAAATGTATTTGTTATTGAAGAGGGAATTTGTAAAGATTGTATAATTTTCATAGTGTAAATTACAAACTTATCGAAGCTAGACCATCATTAAAAACCCTGTAGAACTAGATGTCTGTTTCGTCCTAATATGGGACTCCTCAGAAGTTCGAATTCATGAAGTTAGACATTAAAACCAATAAATGCTGACCACTGAGGTCAAGAGTTTAAGAGTGCTCATGTGACATCAAGTTCCTTGGTTCGGTTCCTGCTTGTGGCGGTCGTGGATGTGCATTGTTGTAAGAAGTCTCATAATACGACGAAACAGACACATCTGGTTCTTCAGGGTTTCTTGTAGTAGTTTAGTTAACATCAGTTAGTGATTTCAATTATGAAAAATAATAGAGTTTTTCGAAATGGAATTAGTTATTTCAAAAAAAATTGAGGATTTTTAAACAGAGAGTTCTTTTGTTCATCAAATCACTGTTAAACAGTAAGAACAAATTTTTTGTCGAAATTATATTCTCTAGATAAAAAGTGTTACATTGTGGGTGTTTTTTGATATTCTATCACAAGACATTCTCATCGTCAGCAGTAACTGTTGATTCAGATCTTTTTCTTAGTTATTACGATAGATCTACTCATTCGCTATATTATTGTTTCACACTCAAATGGTGAATCAATCATTGTTGGACCGCCGTTAGAAACCTGAAAGCACTGGACGACCGTTCCTTCCTGGTACGGGACTCTTCAGCAGTGCACATCACCGACACCCGCTCAAGGGTATCGAGCCCAGGAGCTTCAGTCTCACGAGTGAACGCTTAACTTTCCAATTGTAATATTTACTTGAAAATAGAGGATTTATATTATTGAAAATAAAGAAAATGGTGTCTTTATGCAATCTAATGTTTTCTATTGTCTTTTTTGTTAGTTAGTTAGTTAGTTAGTTAGTTAGAGCATATTCTTTTTTATAAATCATGTTCAGATTGTGCATTCTTATCTCTCTTGATCATTTGCATATAAGTGAATTTTATTAATACTATTGCAGTTAATATTAGATACACATTAATCCAACCAAATATTATGATAATCTCATCAAAACAAGATTTCCAATAATTTCCTATTATGTATTATTTAGAATAATAATCTAAGCTAGATGAGATAAAAATCTGATTTGATTTTTTTACAAACAAAATGCTATACACTTTTTTAATGCATAGTGTACATTGATCAAAAACAAAGTATGCTTTAAAAAGTGAAACATGATGTTTCCGCGTTTTGTGATCTTTTTTTGTTCGAATCATAAAAATAAAAATTATCATCTCAAAAAAATCATACTGTGTTTGGATGATAATTTAATACAAATCAGAACAAACTGGATTGCAGTTGAGGGACGAATTCAGAAAAAGCGCTAGAGATGAATAGAACACAGTGCAGAAATCATCCATCTGCATTACACGGCAAGCCCTAACTTGAAATTCTCAAAGTTAAAGAGAAAAAGATAGACCAAATAACATATTACGCCGAGAATTTTACACATACATGGAATGAACGATCAGTAATTGGTTAGAACTGGGAAGGAAAGTTGAGGAGAAGGCTGGTCAGAGGCCTATGCTTCATTAGGCATAATTGACATAAGTTAGTAAGTAGGTAATTAAGTAAGTACACGCCTTAAACTAATGAATGGTTGCAATTTAATAACAGAGACAAAAGCAACCAAAAAAAAGGAATAACATGTCAAACTTATTGATACAACTGTTGAAGCGTCACCAATTGATTAGGTTACTATCATTAACGAAAAAAAACATCACAAAAGACAGTGTGGCCTAGGACCTGACTCCAATGTAGACGAACGATTGAATATTTCATGAAATAAATCTTTCCTCTAACTTTTATGAATTGTGTTTAAGTGAACCCTGTTTGTATGACGCCCGTAATAAGAAGCCAAAAAACGGATCCAGCTGAATGAATCCTATTCCTACAACTATTCAATTCAGGTAGACAGACTAGCGTATTAGCAAAGAAGTGGAGAAGGTGAGGGTGAACCAATTCAGTCCAATGAAACATGACTACGTATTTATAACCAGACAAAAAAATAGGCTAGACATCTGACAAGCGATGAGAGCATTCCACATTAGTACTGAAGTAGAAACAACCAAATAATTGATATAGTCAAAAGACTTGCGAATGGTAACTTGAGCAGAAAAAGTTAAATTGGTTTGTCTATAGGCTAGGGACAGTCATGTGGGCTCAACATACTAAGTATACAACATACTACAACAACTTATTCACATAATATTATCTTGCACTTTGCATACTAAACATTACAAAACAGTTTTTAATTAGTATTGCAATAATATATCTTGATGTACTAGGAGTCAGACATGAGATGTAAAACTGAAAACGTTGAATAGAATAGAAACTTTTCCACTATTTAAAAAAATCAAGTTATAATTCAATTATTCATTATATATGATTGTTTGAATAATTAGTGGAAAACTTAAGAAGAAAAATAAAAAAAATTCATCATTGAATCTTGAACAGAATTCAAACAACTTGAACCGGAAAAATAGGTTTTGTCAATGAAAATAAAGAAACAAAATGATATAATAATTATTAGTACAGATGGATGATAGTGATTAGCAGTGGAATACAAAACGCACATTTCGTTCTATTTAGGATTAGTCTTCCGTCGGATATACTTGTATAACAGAGTGAATGATCTCCCTGACATTCCAAATCAGTACTATTTATTCGCTTGAAAAACTTGACTACAGAGTTCAGATAGCCATTCACTTGTACAATGGTTTCAAGTTAATTTAATTTATATTGGTTATTTGATTGCTAACAATGCTCGTCACCTAACTAAGATATTGAAGCAATCCGTGCTGAATGCTGTTAGGAAGGTTGATAAAAATTTCAATGAAATTCACATAAAGAAAACACTTTTCAACTCAATCACTTTATCATGAATGTGTCAAAAGTTAAGAATATAAACTATGGAGTGAATTCAACTCGATAACATACATAGAAGTAGTGTGATTAATGAGAATTTTAAGTTGAATACATGATAAAGTGACGTTATACAAGAAGTGAATTATTTTAAAACTAGATGAAATAAATATTTACACTTTTAGTCGGTTTTTATAATTCTCATTATAGAGTTATGTAGATTGTAGATTGTTGAGTCACATTGAAACCATAAAAATATGCTCACTAGCGGTTAGATTTATAAGGGAATTCTTAAAATTCTAGGGCGAAGCTGTAACCAGTGAAGTTCAACCCTGTCCGATGTAGGCAGCTATCCACCAAAGACAATGGATAAAGTCGCACATCATCGTGGATTGATTGAAGGTAGACATTTACACCGTTGGATAGCGGTCTAAAGATTAAGAGTTCTTACGCGAGACTGAAGGTTTTGAGTTTGATTCCCACAATGTGAAGTTTGTGGATGCATTACGCTGAAGCATCCCATAATAGGCCGAAATCGTCGTGTAGTGTTTTTAAGTTTATAATACTGGTGGTCTAGCAATGATTGATTTATGATTTCATTAGTTTTTTCCTCCAGATAGTCACAGCCAAATTCAATTGATCCAATAAATAAGGATTCAAAAAACAAATCAACCACTGACTAATAAAAAAAACGGTTTTTAAATCTACCCTTAGGGGATGATTACAGGTAAATCAATAATAATACTCCAGTGTATATCACACATAGTGACAAATATCACTGATAAATTGAATTAATCTTGTTAAATCTTCCACCTAATCTCTATTATCCTATGTTTACAAACAATGTTCAGCTTCGAAATAAGTTATTAGATGTTCAGTGAGAAATTGTACTAAATCAGTAATCAGTAATATTGACTTTAAGACACTAATCAATATGTTATGTATGAGTTGATTAATTGTGAAAACTTAATCCATTTTATATTTAATCTCAATGACTGAATGATATTGAGGATTTTTTTTTTTGAATACGACCTGAATCTGATTAATTTTATTCCTAACACAAAGTCATTGCAGCATATTGCTGAAAAGCTTGAAAACGAGGATGAAATAATAATCTAATTATCCCTGCTTTACAATAGTAAATGCAGTTGATGTGAAATGCTGAGGAAGACAATCGACAAGACAAAAAATAATTATAGGGGAAATCATTTCATTTCAATATTATTTTAATCACTTAACTATACGATTCCAATTCCTTTGTATTATTGAAATCATGAGTCGATCAATGTAAGACTAACATTAGAAACCTAGATGCAGTGTATAGAACTCATCAGTGTCGGTGTATATTCACGACCCGACATTAAAAATATCGAATCTAGGACTTTCGGTCTCGTGCGCGAACGCTTAGCCTCTAGATCATTGGGCGGGGATCCAACGGTGTTAATGTCAAACTTCAACCAGTAGACGATAATACGCAATCATTATCTATTGTCCTTGGTGGTTAACTGCCTCATAGCCGACATGGTTGAACTCCACTGATCACAGCTTCTCACACTAGAACTTCTAGAATTTCCACTCAAAGTTTAGTATTGTTCGTTACGGCATAATCTCATGAGACAACTGTTACGTTGTTCTCGTTGTAGTACTTGGTGATCTTGTGTTGGACCGCTGACAGAATTTTACGATGTACACTGGGCCAAGAGTTCCATACTAGAATGAAACAATCACTCATTACATCTTAACTTTCAATGATATCACAGGCTATGGATCAATCTGTAATCAACTTTAAAATAAATTCAATTATTCTCCATCAAAATCTAATTTATAAAAATCTAGCAACTGAACTGTTAATAAATGTTAAATAATTTTATCCTTAATATTGTTGTTGTTGTTTTTTTTTCATTCAGATGACCTAAAATAAAAAAAGTGTGTTTTATTTTACTGTCAGTTAATCATGAATATTATTATTAACATACTAACAGGGCAATGAATAACTTCCACTTGTCAAATCTAATCAACATTTACTAAAAACAAAAAGAAAT